CTTGTCCCTTCGGAGACCGGCCTTCGTAGTCGTCTAATTGTGATATTAGGGCGGCATTTTAAATTCGGAATATCGTCATCACCATGTCTTCCAGATTGGATTCGTCACTCAGGCCTTCGAAAGAGCTGACGTTTTCTTCAAGGGCGGCTAATCTAGTGGTTCAATCGGACGCTTTCCAATCTAACAATTTCTGGTCTTCTTTTGCTTCATCGATTCAGATTTCAATACTGCGTCGTGTCTCTCGTTTAGATCCACTGATAGGCCCCTAATGGCGGCTAATCGTTATGCTGTTTAATCATATATTCCTTTGGAGCACCTGAATTTCGCTCTACTTTTCAATCAAAAAGAATCCTTTTCGCATCGTGAACACTTCTATGCCGCGAGAATAAACACAGAAATGTGCTCGGCAACGCATAAGAACGGATGACAAAGGAAGACACCGAGGCATGTGGGCATGACTATAGCAGCAAGCAGACATTCTTAGGCTTTTTTTTAAATAAAGAGGAGGAGCAGAACAAACCTGGACAAAAAAGCAGAACTTTTTAGCAGCCATTCGAGCTGCTGCATTCACATGTTTACCAGTCGTATCATGCTTCAGATTCAACTGAAAACAGCAAACAAATAACAAATATGATGAAGACGTGACTTGAGATAAACGCTGGACTTCAACTGATTATTTAATTTAAAAAATTCAACAAATTTTACCCGTCACTATCGCGTCGACACGAGCTTCAAAAAGGCTACCTAATTCTCGTGTAAACAAACCAAAATTTGACTGTGGCATGTTTTGCCTTCCTTTCCTATCTGATAGGAAAGGAAAGACGGGCCGTTGCGCCAAAACGTGAGCACGCGCTGTCACTGAGATTAACTGTGCGAGGACACCTGCCCTTACACTGTGTGACTTGCAAATGTAAACCAAACTGTGACTGTATCAAAAGAGGCTGACAAAACAGCGAGAGAACTGCTGGAAGCGTTTGAGATAGTAAAGGAAGACGCAACATGCGTAAGTCAAATTTTGATTTGTTTACATAAGAATGAGGTAGCCTTCTTGAAACACGTGTCGACGCGATATTGTTGTGAACTGTTTGTTCGATGTTTTTAATGCGAAACATTCTTCAGCTACCTCTAAAAGCAATAACCAGACTGACTGCGTGTTTTGTATCTCTTTCCAAGTTTTATTAATTATGCACGCGGTATTTTCGTGACTCGATTGGAGAGTGCATGGCTAGAGAGAGCTACTCGCTGTGTCCACGGCATGTCGGCGTCACGTACATTCCTCATCCCGCGCTTTTTTTGGGGGGTCCGCGGGGGGACAAAGGCGGGACGGACGTTATCTCCCCATCTTACGGTCGAGTGGCGGCACATTTAGCTAATTTGAGGAATCCTTTGTTCGCCCTCGTGCCTCGAAGCGCTTTGTCAGGCCGCGTGCGCGATGAACGAGAAAGCAAAATTCTAGTACCATTGTCTTTCTCCTGAATACCTTTTGTTCCCTTTCGCTGGACCCTCCACGTCGTGTTCGTACTAAAAAATAAAAGAAAAAATCTAACTCTTTTTTTTTTTTTTGCTACATGATTAGATTTAATATATATATATATATAGATTGCACTTGCTTCTTTCTTTTTTTTTTTTTGGAACAGGAATTTGTCGCAAACTTTATTTCAAGGGTGACTCCAGTACAACTCCTTTATTATCTATTGTTGTCCTGTAATGAGAACGCTAATGCTACGTTTCCGCTGGTGGATTCGGTACGCGGTGCTATTTTTCGTGTAATTTCTTGTAAGTAAAAACTGAACGAAAGAAAAATATACGGTACAAAAATTGCTGGAGTGCTTTGTTAGCCTGTTGTATGGTCGAAAACTGAGATTGGTTCAGTTCGTAAAAACGATGTAGGAACTTTTTTTTTTCTTTCTTGTAAAATGGCCCGGCAACAGATGGTATGATTGTTTTCTTTTTTTTATTTGTATAACGCGAAGGCAGACAGCATACACAAAATGGAGACCTTAATCAACATGCCAACCTTCTCTTCTTTTTTTTTCTATTTCTTATGTGTCTAAAAGAAGATTAATCTGCCAACAAAAATTAAAAGGAAGTGCACTAAACCGCTGTATATTTTAATAACTAGTGAAGCTGTGACATTCGCCCTAGTGTGTCTTTTTACGTGTCCGTATAGGTATGACTACAATCTTTTGAATCTGTATTCTTGATCACCTTCTTTTATATCTTATTTTTAATAACGTAACCAAACATTTAACGCAGCACTACATGAGAGAAAATTTGACAGCTCACGGGGCACTATGCTTCCATAAATTTGAATTCTTTTTTCTCCTTTCAAACTTTAATCTCAGGGAATGATTACATTTCATAATAATTGGGTTGTGTGTGTGTTTATACAGCCTAGAACTTGGTCTGCCTCACAGGGGCGACGAGTCTCCCAGCTGTAGATGAGAAATTACATTTCAATTTCTACGTGTCGAGCGTTCAAGAAAATTGTAAAGACGCAACCCCTAAGATGAAACAGCGAAAGCCGAGGTGCGACGTCGGAGCCGCTAAGGAGTCATTTCGGAGCAGATGGACTGAATGAATGGTAAAGGTTTGAGCGCGCAACCTAGATTCCGCATAAGCGTTTCATATTAAACTGAGTACACACCGGACCTGAATTTTGTAGCGTTTGGGAACCATTTGGGGTGTATTCAGTCGAGAGCATTTTAGCAGTACACGTAATATGGCGGCGTGTTTTCGTACCTCACTTCGGTAAAAAGAGTCGCACGTGCTAAACGAAAAGCGGCGAATAAACAGGGACAAGGAAGCAGACAAGACGAAGTGCACTCTCAAATAAAGGTTTATTGAAACAAACACGCAATATTCATACCATCTTTCTGGCTATTTGTTTAGAAGATGAAACTCTTATCTGTGAGGTGCATTGACGGGGCGCTAACGCACTTGTTTTCCCCTTGCCTTCTGATACAGAATGAATCGTAAAATTCTAAGGCAGTTTTATGTGCGTATGTTTCGAGAAATGTTGTTTGTGCTAATTCTGGGTCGCATAGACAGCTATCCCAGTGCACTGCCAGGTTGCCCGGCGAGTGACTGTCTCTACTGACCATGCACTCTACCCTGTATACCATGCATGGCCATGCATGCTATATTACTTACTTGCTAGCTTGATATCCCGTGGAATGGTTTTGGAGGAGTGCCAAAAATGGCCCACGTCGATATAGAGCGCGGTCGACGACGCGAAACCACGAAGTGCGCCGTAAAAGGGAACACCCGAAAATGGTGGTCAAGTGAGGGTGCCTAATGGGGCGTCGCGTGACGTGTCTGATTCTGTGGTCACCGACCGCATACGAAACGCAGGGTATGGCCCATGGAGGTTCATGCGTCTTGCTTCGTGACTGGTTGTTCGACCTTCTTATCGGCTAATGCAGCGATCTGATTGGCTGCGAAGAAACGCTAAGACATTCGGGGCTCACCACGCCCTGCCTTCCTCAAGCTGGCAGTGGCGATAGTCGCAGAAGTGTTATGTTGGGTTTAACACCGAGTCTATCATGTTTAACATGTTAGACTTCAATTTGTACCTTCGTTTTTTTTTCTTTCTTTTTTTGTTTTTTTTGCAGTGGGTTTATGCATTTGGAAATTGAGTGGTCTCGAGCAAAAATGATATGAGAAGAGTAGCTAGCTACCTAAGGATTATTCGTAGTGTCATTCTTACTGTAAAACAAGAAAGAAAAAACTTAATTTTTGATTTTAAGAAATAAGCGAAATTCTCTCGGTGCTATCCATTAGCGTTTTAATAATCACGGACGACGAGAATGCACATTTACTGCAATTTATATATATATATCTTTTTTTGTGTGGAACATGCGAGGCGATGTTTTTCTTTTTGTTATCTTGTGAACCTTCACACTCCTGTAGCTGTCCTCAAAAGGCCGACATCATGAATAAATAACAAACTGCGTGAAAATAGGCTTGCGGACAATGGGATTGGTTGGAAAGCTTTGGCTTAGGGCGCCAGAGAGATTTAGCGTTTGGCCGCCCTAGACGATCATTAAAGTGCCCCGCTTTCCCCCGGTCATCGGTAACAAACGTGCACACACCATTCCTTAGTCGCTTTTAAGAGTGTGTCATGGGCTTCCTTCGTGATGCAGTGGGTCACGGGCTTAGCTCGACAAGGGTTGAGGCCACTATAGCCGTCCTTCAAAATTTGCCGGCCCATAAATTTGGTCGCCCTTGGCAGCTGCCTTGTCTACCAATACGAAGTGCAAGTTCGTCTGCTTCTTGCGAGTGCAAGTTCGTCTGCGATGATGTCAGAACGCCGAGCTCTTATTGGCCGATTAAAAAAAAAAAAAGCAGTGGGTAGACCTCAAGTCATGTAATGTTGAGGTCTACCCACTATCCTTCCAACCGAAACCAATCAGAGTTCGGCGTCGCTCTGACGTCAACGCAGCCGTTGCGCAAGAAGCGGACGACTTGCTCTCCGGGTTAATATGTCTGCCTGAGGTGGAGCGGGCTTGTGCCTTAGGCTTAGAGCCCGAGACATGTTCTTGTTACTGCGTGATGGGCCGCGAACGTTAATTTTTACGTTTCTAACCTGCGACTGCGTAAACACCACACTTGCGGCCTGTCCACACATTTGCGTATGAGTGTTACCGAGCGCGTCGCAATCGCTTATGACAGCTCACAACGAAAGACCTCACTGGCCCCTTATCGGGGTGCCTGCAATCTACGTAAATTTTTTAATTTACTTTTATGTATTACACTTTAACTGCGGACTTCAAATGCTTTTGCCAATGTTACGAGCAATCGTTATTTTCATGGACAGTGTAGAGACTTGGTCGCGCAAATACTGTCAAATCTACAGTCTGGTTATACGCAGTGTACACAATGGAAACGCACCTTCATTTTCCATTTAGTAACCGCGCTTCGACAACCCTGTCCAAGTTGCCTTAATGGTGAGCGTTTAGCTAAAAGACTCAGACACCCTCTCTGTCCACTGTCTGTAGTGTTCGTCGACTGCGAGCCTCAAGTGATGAAGGCCCGCGTCAAGAGCAACATGGTCTTCAAAGGCAAGGTGTACGCCCGTGGACGACCTACGACCTGCTCGCAGGACATCAGCAGCAGCATGGACTTCACCCTTCCCATCCAGCTGTCCGGCTCCGACTGCGGCACCATCAGCAAGGTGCGTTGTCCAAAGGTCCTCTTACCCTGGATATAAAAAAAAAACAGTCTGCAAACATGTTCGAAACATGCACACGTATGAAGCAAAAATGCTAGAAGCATACGTTCGCAGATAATCCTGTCATTGGGGGCGTTTTAGCAAACCGTTACCGTGTTCCGCGTACCGCACTCCGGTATGGTGGGGTATACCCGGAACACGTTGATGGTTCACTAAAACTCCCCATTATATCTGTAACGAACACCGTGCCTTCCGCATAATTACAGGCGGTATGACTGCAACTTGAGTCACTGAAAGAGTTAGAACGGCAGGGAGGTCCTTCGGTTGTCCCGCCTCCAGCCCGATTTTCCTACCTTTGATAACGCTTTGGCGTCTCGTGACATACGAGCGTTCGCGACCATCCAAAGCATCCAAAGCTTTGGATGGTTTGGATGGTCGCGTAAGATGTACAGTGGTCAAACAAAGTCGAACGACTTTGTTTGACCACTGTACATCTTACGTCTCCGTTGGGGTAATGCCTACGTGATCGAGCACGAGGCTAACAACACGAGGCAATTCTCGCAATATATCGCGCTGGAAGAGCTAGAAATTTGAACTCGTTGCTCCTGGATGTGTTTCCACGTCCCCGGTATCATCGAACAATTAGGTTAATTAATTAATTTGATATGGTGCCCACGAACTTCGCTCTGCTGCAAGCTTAGCTGCAAATGCAAACAGGTTCGCGCTTGCACTGGAGCACTAGTGTCAGTGTACTCTTATTGCCTATGATCTCATCTCGAGCGCATTGTGGGAACAGATCACTTTATACGGTTTAATTCCACGAAATACGGAAACAACAAATGTCGAAATAGATATGTTTTTATCAAATAAAGGGTGAGCGATTTTTTTTTTCTGAAGGGGTATTAATTTGAACAGCAACCGCAATCTTTAAGCAAGAAACCTTTATTCAATTTAGTAATTTTTTGATGGAACGCATCTGGGCTAATATAGTAGTCGTTTCGCGCATCGTGTAGAAAATAAAACACATAAACAAACAGGGGTAAACCTGTAAACAAACGGGGGTAAAGTGATGGTGTACCAACCTCAAGGGTAATCAACATGATCGAAGAACATTTTTCGTGCGGAACCGTGCGAAATATTTTTGGGGCAATCGACAAATCTTTGTCGTTCATCACTTTTTTTTGTTGTTGTTGCACATGGTATGTCACTTCAATTGCCGTCCAACAATTGACTCGGTGCGAACTACCATTACAAATACTTTTCGCGACATGGATATCACGAAAAACAAAGATGCGTACAAAATATGAAGTCCACGTCGGCATGTGCACAAAATCCACTCCAGAAAAAGCATTGATCTATGTCCCACACATGCGAATCCACATTGCAGGCGGCGCCTACTCCACGACTCCCCGGTACATCATTGTGAAACGCGCCGCACGAAATCTCTCCCATACCACATACCACCATTTCACATTCACGATCACAAAAGGTCACCGGCCAGCGTGCGGACGAGAAAACACGGGCACGAACTCGCAAATTGCATCTCCCTGTTGTCATCCATCACCACCACAAGAACAACAACAATAACGACCAGCATCAGCTAAAGAACCGAATGTACGATATACTTTCTCGGCTGCTGCTGCCCCCCTCCCCCATGCTTCGTTTGTTGATACCACCCCCTGTCTCTTTCTCACTACTGCACCCAGTTTGTCGGTGCGCTGATTTGGGAGCCATGTTTTTCTTTTCTTTTTCTTCGCTCGTGGCCTCTCCTGAAATATATGCGCTCGCGTACGTGCTTCTTCGATGTTTGTCTTGCTCCGGGACTGCTTGCTATTCAAACGAAGACGGATCTCCAGTGCGGTTCAGTCGGAGCGCAGCGGAGAATCTGTTTTCATTTGGTTTGTCGGGAGGCTTCGTTGGGAGGAGGGTTTGTACGAGAGGTGTGTCGGGTAGGAGAGTTCAAGCCCCGACGATCTCCCCATTTTCTCGCGTTCGGTTTCTCCTTGTTGCGTGTATAATGTAAAAGAAAAAAAGAGATATGAGCAAAACTTTAAATGAGTTCCGTGACGGATCCGGCCCTAGGAAATGCGTTGTGGAGTTTGAGAACAGAATACGCTGATAGCCCCCCTTTTAATGCCAAGCTTAGCGTGCCATCTATACAGTTTCATAGGCGTTTCGCAGTATTGCGATTAGGTTTTGATGGAGCACTTGGGATGAAACAGCCCCGTCTGTAGTCCAACGCGCAGCTTCGACATCACGCGCTGCGGTGGCGCTGGTGTACACTCGGTGCATATACGCGAATGCTTCACTTGGTGCGAATTTTGTGTCTGCGCACGTTCGCTGCATCTGGTATATATGCATACGCGGGCTTGTGTGTAAACAGCCCGGTGGCGCGTACGGATCACGTCAGAGGGAAGCCTATTTGTCCTTGCGATGAACTGCGAGGTATTTGTTTTTCGCCAATTCACAATGCAGGATTTGTAGTTCCATTCGCGTATAGTCTTTCATCGTGTTGCTAGAGTCTAGAATGTTGCTTTTAGTTCAATAGATGGCTCATCTTCAGGTGGGCAGCTAACTTACATACTAATGCCCCCCCAAACATGCGAATGATCTAACCAAGTATTTAGTACTCATAATGGCAGCCGCCTGTAGGTTCCTCGAGCAACCGTGTCAACTTGCGAAGACGTTTTTTCTTTCTTTTTTTTTTTTTTTGTAGTATAGTCTGCCGTTTGTATCAAAGTCCGGGCTTCCCACATTAAAATAACCCATATACAGGATTAATCAAATTAAAGGGCAACTCCGCTCAATTCCAAAAAAATTAGGCTTACATGTGATTCAATTTCCCAAAGCAGTACTAAACAGCTCTACGTCTTCGGATTTGCGAAATGTGGAATATTATTTGTGTAATCCTAATTTGAACATCAGCTGATACCGAAACGGAATTGGTCTCGCGTCGTCAGAGTCATGACCACGTCACGTCGAACCACGCGGTCTTGTGACGTTCGGGGGGGAGGGGGGACGAGGGACAGGACACGCGATGCGGGCAAATCGCTTCGCATGGCGTGGACGGTGATGGCCCGAGGGAGAGGGGGAAGGGGAGAAGACGAAAGAGGAGAAGGGGAGCGGAGAAACAGACCGATAAGCGCATCCACGTTACGGTGATCACGTGGACGCCGTTCAGCCAACACCGGGAGGAGAAACTCATGATGTCATCGTTCAGTTTCGCTCTGAGAAGTAAAAACAAACAAAACGTGAGAATGACGTAGTCATGCCTCTGACGTACTGGCTCAACGTTGGCCGCTCCAACTCCGTCGCATTGACTGCGCTGACGATTGCGCCTCACGTCGCACGCTAGGGTTGGCAGATTTTGGCGACTTGGCTCACTTGAAGGTTTGCTGGCCAGTTTATTAAATATATAGACGGAATCAGATCGTAATATTTGACATGGGGGTCTTCCTATATGATACTGAAGAGGGCTACATAGTTTTCTAAACGTCAAAAATGAAGCGGAGCTGCCCTTTAATCAAGAACGGCTAACATACAAATTGGAGACTAAGTACTATATTTCTTTCTAATTCATTGTACATTATACCTCTAAACACCCAGCAAATAATGCATAAGGGAAGATGAACATGTAAAAAGTACAACAAAACCAAATTAATAAGATAATTTACAAACAAATTAATCGAGTCTTAACAAAATTAACATCATTAAGTCAACTTTTCTTGAAACATATATATTTCTGTCCGCATCGGAACGTGTGTTAAATTAATCTGGTCATTTGTCAATGACCATGAGGAACCAGATATACCGGCTAATTGAAGACGACTGAATGACGACTGATGAGTTCCGGACAAAAATATTTTAAACAATACCTGCTACACGTGCTCCCTCGCCTTCGCCTGCTTTACGACGCTTACACTCACGAAGTTCTCGCTTTTGTTCTTCACCTTCGTTTCTCCGCACTGTCTTTACTGTCGATAATTCACCGTCTACAAAGTGTAACCTTGCCCCTCGTCGCAAGCTACAAGGAAATGCGCGCATGGTTCCAGACGGAGGGCCACTTCTCAAACGTGCTAGTCATCCAGAGCAACGACCAGGTGGTGACGGCCATGGACAAAGCCATCGGGGTCTCTTGCACCTTCGATGTCGGGAACAAGACCGAGTTTGCCGCAGCCAAGGTCTCGTGAGTACTACGTTGTTCTGCCTCTGACAGAGCGCTGACAGGATGCTGTTCTTTTTAAAGAGCCCAATGTTGTTGAACGCTACCCCTAATCCCATACATTTTTCCTCTGGCCGTCCGTGCACACAGTGACTTATGCATAACTCCCTGTAGCCTACCCTCAGGCTCATTCCAACATCCCACCCTCCCCTAAGATTTCCCATACAACGTACACAAAGCTATTGGCTATACTATACCCCTAACCCCCCCCCCCCCCCCCCCCCCTCGCCCTCTCCCAGACTCTCGGTCCTGGATCAGATAAGCATGCGCACGTTAGGATGAACCACTGCGTGCAGTTTCCCCCTAAATATAGCGGGAAAATTGACGTTGTCTAATGCGAATGCATAACGTGACAACACGACTTTACACCGTAATCTCAATTGCCCCGCTAAATTTAGCGGAGGGATTGTGAAACAGTACTGTCTTGTCCGTCCCACGAAACGGCTGCTTCATTTCTTCTCAACAAATTTAAACGATCGCTCTTTAGGTAGTGCATTCCATACGTTTAATAACTAAAAACAAAAGTCGCTGACTTTTTTTTTTTCTTTTATGTGGCTAAAAGTGAGTGCTAAACGAATACCTTCACTTATGTGTAAGAACTTTTGTGATCTACGTCATTAGAGTACAAAACAGAATTCCGCATCCCGTTGCGATTCGTTTTTGCTGAAAGTTGCTTACCAAACTATATAGATGCCAACCAAAGACATTTCGTCATAAGTAGCGGTGCGGTGAAATATATAGAAGGCAGACAAACATACACATATGTAGTAAAACTGGAAGGTCACGAACCCCTTCACCGTGCTCGATTGGTTTAGTGAGGATTCCAACAAACGCAGACTTATGTATAATGTCCTGACGTTGCGTTGTTGTGACGTTGCGTTGCGTCGTGACGTCGTGACATCGCGCTCTAAAGTTAAGGTGAGACAAAGTATAGGATTTGCTTTTATAAAACGATTAACCGATTTCCTCGCCCCTCGTGTAATGGCCTACCGGCCTTCAAGGTTCTTTAAATGTTGATGATGATGATGAGGATGATGATGGTGACGACGACAATAGGCAAACTCGAATGCTTGTACCACCAATGTGACGTCATGTACATGGAAGAAACACGCCACGGAAAGTGTCTGCTGACTGTTTTTTGTGCGGTGTATCAGCGATGGGAGCGTGACTCAATAGACATAACATAAATGTCTCACCGGCGTACTCTCGTCACGTGATTTCCACTTAAGAACATCGTGACACGGCGTTTCTGTTAAGTGTGGAAGAGGGTCGACCTTCCCCGCGGTACCGAGACCTTCTCGTGTGCCGTCCCCTTCTGCAGGGATCCCAAGCAGACGGACCGGAGCCGAGGCAAGCCGCCGCTGCCCGAACTCTCCCTGCACATCCTGGACATGCGAGGCAACGAGCGTGACTCCGTGTCGCTGGGCGAGCTGGTGCGGGTCCAAGTCCGCATGTCCGAGGAAGGTAAGGTCTCGATCGCCGAACTCAGCGAGAGACTATACTGTGCGACGCAGTTCGCTCAAACTCTGCATCAGACGTAATGCGTTTCAAGACGTCCGTATACTTTTCGGTGTTTATTTATGTCGAAATTCGGCGGATGCTTTTCGGTGTTTATTTATTTCCAGAATACCGGTGCATTTTGGTGATATGTTTTGTGATTAAAGCGGCTTTTATCGACGGAAAAAAATCGCGAATATAAACTAACAATCAAGACTAGAAACGGTTAAAATTTCTTCATTATTACTTTACTTCATTATTTCAATCTATACTTCGTTTGAGCTTAAGTCCAGATAGGCTTCCACCAAAATAATATGAAAGACTCTTCAAACCACCCAACTAGGGTCCGCAAAAAAGGAAGGCAATCTTCAACGGTGCAATCTTAAAAAGGGCACAGTAAGGCCGAAGTTTTGGGGACATAAACGGAAGGTCAGAGTAACCAGCACTGACATGACAAAAAAAAAAAACATCACGATTACTAAGGATTATCGGGAGACCTATGCTAACGGCCAACCGCAAAAAAAACAGCCTTAAAAAAAACGAGCCTGTCGAACGTTTACTAAAAACTTTTTCGGTAAAAAACGGCAGCAAAAACTGCGGATTGTGCAAAGATATTTAAAATCCGGTATTTATCGGTTTCAACCGATTTTTTCAGTTAAAACCGGAAAATATACTGCCTAGTTACAAGTAACGCGTTACTTGTACTTAGTCTTTTTTTTTCGGTAACGATGTAATGACAGGGTTACCTTTTACGAGAAGGAACAAGTAACCGGTTTTCACTCCTTTTCGATGAAGTAGCCAGTTCTGCTATTTAGTACTAGAGGGAAACGTCTGCAACGCAACTTCCAAACCTATAGTTCTCATCCCAACTGGCGGCTGTAATTTGCTCGACTTGAAATCGCTAGATAGATCACAAAACGATGTGCGCACTAGGTATGTCATATAGTCACAGTTATCACTGAAAGAACGCGTTAAAACACGAGATTTTGTTAACGATGACAAATACAAACATCTTCAATTAACTCTCGTCTCCAGCCACGCAGTTCACGCATCCGTTACCGGTGACGAAAAAAAAAATTTAAAACATTACAAAATGGCGTTAGAAAAAAAAAAAAAAGTATATAGAGGAGCCAAAACAAGAGAGTGTGACAACCGTGATCAAAACGTGAACACCTCCTAGTTGCTCTGCAACGACAAAACGATGTTTTCTCTCGCACCAATAATTCGGCGATTCAAGATGGCGACGACTACGCGAAAAAGGTGGATAAGACGAGAAAGTGAGAAAAAGGAGGAGACGAGAGCGTGCGGGAACGTCGGAACGCCGAGCTCTGGTTGGAATGATATAGTGGGTAGACCTAATGCTAGCTGCCTTTGTCTCCACTAAAAAAACTGCATGACATAGCAAGAAAAGAGTCAAAGTACAGGCTAGCTGGTGGAAGTCAACCATTTCGTCGTTTACCCTGAGACTGGGTTTTTTTTAGAAGAGCAGAAGTAACAGAAAAACAGACAGGTCTCAAACTCAAACTCTCAAACTGAGTTTGAGACCTGTCTGTTTTTCTGTTACTTCTGCTCTTCAAAACAACCCCCAGTCTCAGGGTAAACGACGAAATGGATGACATAGCAGTTTCTTTTTCTCATTTTACTCAGGCAGGGTATAGACATTTGCAAGTCAAGAACTAGTCAGTAATTACGTGTTTCTTTTTTTTTTTCTTTTTTTGTAAATAAGTCATACACATTTTTTTTTTTTTTTTAGGAGAAAAATGATTTTGGTACAGTCGATTCATGGAGGTGACCGAATTTTTGTGCTCCAGACAATGTGGAGTTTCTTGAGGCCCGATAACTTTCTTGTTGTAAAAGTAAGACGATGAAACAAGGTGGTGTGACGGGAGAAAAATATCCGCTGCGTCTCGGTAGCACTGGCTAGATGCTGATCGCAGTTCAGCGCCCACTGTGAAACAAGTAAAATGGCTCCGAAAATACTGACTCGAGCACACGCTGGGAGGGAATGTTTTTTTTTTTTTAAATCTTAGTTTAGATGTCGCAACAAAGGAGTGCTTCTTTGACTTGTGCGATATGTCGCAACGGTATTTATCGACCGGCCTTCGGAAATATCGACGGGTGTTTCCGTTAGAAGTGTCGCAAGAACTATCTGGATACGTTTCAGAGGTTACTGAACCTATACAAAACTCGGTGAGCGGGCGAGCTGGTGAATCGCAAACGTAATCAGCTTGTATACATTTGGGGACATGAATTCCTAACTTGTTTTGTGTATTTAATTTAAAATATTCGGTTTTTCTGCAACTTGGTGTTCAACTGTCTACAATCGCTTTGAATAGATCTGAATGCTCTCTTTGTTTTAGACATTCAAACACTGTAAGAGCAAGGAAAGTTTCGAAAGATACTGCAATGCGACTTGAGGAAAATGGAAATCAGATGATTGCATAAAGTCTGGGTTAAAAGAGTATTATTCTGATACGTTGCTGTACTGAACTTCCTCCTTCGACATTTAGACAAATATTGGAAACGTTCTTGATTTTCTGTTTTTGTTATCTCTTCAGATACGTATGGGATATTTGTCAAGAACCTTATCGCTCGTGACGGCACCGGATCGACGAACTTAACGCTCATTGACAAGACTGGGTGAGCTCGAAACTGTATTTATATTCGAAACATTGATGCCAAGCGACAATGATGCACAGAAAATCAATAGGCAGCGACTATTTCGACGACCACTTTAAAAATAAAAGCTGAATATCATTTTGACCTTCGTGGTGCCACTTCCTGAAGACGTGAAAATATCTTTAAAGCCATTTTGGCATCTCCCGTCAAAATATTCTCGTCAATATTTTGACGTCCCCAACTTAGAACTTTTGAGATTTAGAGTTCGGACTGGGGAGACATCAAAGGTGGTGATCAATAAAATATCCTCTTCCTTGCAGGCAGCGTCGCAGTTCGACACGGGTTTTCCAAAAACATATGTCAAATAGTCGACTGCTGTTTTTATGACCTTTTAAGTGATGCGAAATGCAAAAAGACCTTCCCAAGGTACATCAGCTATCTGGCCGAAAGTAACATTTGCTTGGTTACGCCAAACATTACAAAATTCGGCATCGCTGCTTTTCATGATTTATATAAACAAAGGAACGAACGCCGTGTCATAAAATCTGCAGTTAATTGGAAAATGCTGTCTCGTACAACCGCGCCAGAACCTTTGTTCGTTCGCACCGGTCAAGAAACATCAGAGGCAATACTTGCATTCACAACCTTTCATTTAACATATCAGTATCGTTTCGTAGTTAACCCGCTCGTTATGCACGAAACAAACAGAAAATCTGAACTACACAGCGAGCTCATGAGACCCGGTTAAAAACAAGGCCGGAGCGAGACTGCAACCACACGAAGACGCACTCGCACGATATAAAGGTACAAAAAGCGTTCCCAATGTACGCACTTACAATTGTGACGTGCAGGGAAGGCAGAGGAATATCCAACTCGCCTGTGTTGTAAATTCAAAATTTTAAGTGACACGCGTGCTGTGATGCGAGCTCAGAACGCTCAGAACATCGCCACCGGGCGTCCCACGTCCGAAAGGGTCAACTGTCGAGCCAATCCCATACACGTGGTGAATAAGACGTTTCCACTGCCAACTAGAACCGAAACTATTCGTCAAAACGCCAACAGAACACCTACGGCACCATCAGAAACTAAAGAAAACGAAACCACAAAACGGCTACTGCTGCTATGGCTGCTACATCGAAGGAGGACACTGAAATAAGAAAACCACTATTTTGAAGTTTTACGAAACTTACGTCACAGACGTCGAAATGAATTTTGAAATATTTCGACGGTGGACGTCGAAATAGTCACTGCCAAGTCAATAAGCTAAGCAAGGTAAAACCAGAATTGAACAAAAACGAGCGAGTTTATCCTTTAAATCCACTGATGTAATGGACGTTCAACGCTCAGTGGCATCCATAAAAAAAATAGCCGGGCTCCTTAGAACTATCATCAAATCAGCTGGTATTCTCCTGTAGCCGAAAAACGATCAATCTCTTCCATTTTGGAAAAGGAACCTGCTAATCAAATTAGAAATGTAAACAAAGCGGAGTAATCTCGTTCATCTTCATTCAGTTTTGTTTGTTTCCGTACATTTCTCGTGGTGCGCTCAACGTGCTATACCCATTCCAATTGTAGTTAGAAGCAGAATAAAAATGCAGTAGAAGCTCCGCCTCCAGCGCTAGCGTTCTGTCCTTCATAATGTTTAATAGCCTATAGTGTAAACTCAGCAAAAGCTCGGGGAAAGGCACCAGGCAAGCGTTAGAGGCAGAGCTTGTACTGAATTTATTGCCTGTCACTAGAATTCGCATAAATACTTTTGACAGGCGTTTGCGATTAAAAAATTGGTATGTTATGTCCTTATAGTGCAGATTTCATTCATGTTATATTTATTGACTTCAAGCAACTCAAGGGAGAGGAGCGCGGGGGGGGGGGGGGGGGGGGGGGGGGGGAGGGCGGGGATTTAATCAAATTTAGCACTGTGACGGTTATGCCGCGGCCGTTCCTTAGGAAAGAAAGCCCAGCTTCTTTTCAGGCTCCGTAAATAAAACTATGCATTACGGGAAGGTCAATCTAGGCTAAAATGTGACGCTAGTGGTTGGAATAAGACGCGAAAGTTAATTTTTTTTTATGGGCCGACGTCAACCTAACTTTCATATCGTCAAAACAAGAAATGGCAATGTAAGCGCCTGTCGCATCTATTTCATTTAACAAAATAAAGGAAAAACTTGACAGAAAGAAAGAAAACGATATCATATTTCTTGCTGACGGGTGTTTTTCACTGGTGCAGTGATGTCTCGTTCATACGGACACCTCCGTTCTCCCCAAAATGTCGTCCATAATGTGAGTTGTTTATAATAATGACAGAAAGATGCATGTATTTTTCCAGTTTGTCCCTAAAAATGTTGTCCATATAGTGGGGTATTTATATTAACGGGGTCTATATTAACAGAGACATGGCTGTAGAAATTTCACATTCGCCGACAAAGTCAGCGCTTGTTTTGGCGACGTTAGGCTTAGCTGGACAATGGCTCAGAGAAATTTCATCTTTCTTGTATGGCGCACCGTGCATTCACGAGAGCGCCCATCAAACCACTCTGCTATCTCGGCCGCGAGGCAGCCACGCAGTTGCCTCGCTTCAGACATGATCACATGGTCGTGTCGCCGCGGGGTCGATCGGGATCTCGAATTCGGCTCCCGACGGGCCGCTTTCTTTCCTAGCCACTGGATGGAGCTGCAGGCGCCCCATGGCGGGCGAGGAGAAACCTCCTCGCCCATCGATTGAGATATACCCGGTAGAGAGGGGGCGAAGGGTCTCTTAGAACTTCGGACGCTACCGAGCCCAGGCAAGTGTAGGGCGACCGGATCTAGGGTAATCGCGGGACACGAGGCCCGGGGGCCCTCTTTGTGTTTAGCTTTGGCGTAACGTGCGTTTGTAAATGTTTGGGTAATGTCGCGTGTATTTGTAGATTAAATTGAGTGTTTTGTAGCGTTGTGTATTATTGTACCTATAAACGGGGAGCGGAATCCCGCTCCCATGAAAGAACCAGGCTGGACTCGGGTTGTTGACGGACCACGTGGGATCTGGCGTATCGGCGGCGGTACGCGAATTCCTCCTTGATTACCTTTTTATCCAGGCAGTGTCATGTTCCCGAACTTTCGGATTCTAATTCCATCCGCTAGAGTCACATTCCCACGGAGATCGAGCTTTCTGTAGTGTAAAGTTCATTTATGCGTACCGAAAAACACGGTTCTCTTTTCTCAGGAACGCCCTGTACATACAGCACTGAAACAAAATCGTGCGCGCTGAAGGACTCAAAAGATAGTTTTGATGATACCTTCCGATTCAAGGACCGGTGCGATAGGCCTTTATAACGCCTCTTTCATTGATGCCTTATTTGCTTCAGGCAACAGAAGAAAGAGGGGGAAGGGTGTCATTGACCTTCTTTCTAGCCTTGTTTGTGGATCGAATCAGTTTGCGGACAATAGTTTTTTTTTCTCCCTCTCCCGCGTCGCCCCCACGCAGCTGCCCCGTGGAGGCGAAGATGATGCGCGAGATACGCACGATCGATTCCCAGAGCAAGTCCCTGGAGAGCTACCTGGAAGCCTTCGCTTTCACCGGCAGCAGCACCCTCGAGCTGGAGGCTGAAGTGGTGACGTGTCTGGAACGCTGCAAACCCGTGAGTCGCCATTTTTCGTGCGCCCTCTCCCCCTTTTCTTTTACGGCGGTAGCCGTTATTAGGAACTTTCAGAAGATTGTTCAGATGACTTCGATAACGATACCCGATACCCCGCCAACGTTTTTGCGCATGGATCATATGGTTATCATCGGGTATCTTTATTGGAGGAACAGAAACAATCTGCTAAAACTTTCAGCTGCGCGAGTCTTTGCAGTGGACTGCGTGTGTTACTTCATAGCCTCCTATATACTGGGAAAGCCTGGCAGATCGCCACGAGAAGCGGCCGCCAAAATGGAAAAGGCGGAGCGGCAGACAGCGGATGAGGGGAGAGCCACGTGACTGGCGCCCCGCTGCGGCGAGATGCCGAAACACACTTCTCCCGAGCGAACAAGTTTTACGGGTCCTCGCCGCTGCAAAAGCTTTGCGCTGACGTCCAGGTTCTTCGAGAAATCGCTCTTTGACGCTCTGTCCTACCAAATCCTCGTGCTCCAAATCTGCGACCGGGCACTCTATGGCTCCGTTGTCACACCGCCATGGCTTTGTGAGTATAGAGGAGGCTATGGTTACGTCTACGTCGTGGTACGCTAAATTTAGCGGGAAAATTTATATGCCATATTTATCGGGGAAAAGACCATATGCGCAATGCCCGGCGCCATCTATGGCGGCGCCGAAGAACATGCTCCATCTCACCAGTTGTCTTCGGCGCTGGCAAAAGCCGGGGCGCGAAAGCGTATGTTCTCAAAAATCCTTCGCTCGCACAAGCACTCGCGCAGAAAAAGCGCTTTTGAAAACCAGGCGCCCGCGCCAGTGCCCTTGCCGGCACTCGAAGCAAAATTTCGAGCTGAAGTGCACGTCCACCATGTTGGTTGCATCGAGAATCCAGCGACCGGCAGGGCGACGAGCACGTGCATGTGCGCAAGAAGAGCGCAAAAAACATACTAACCCTTAGCAGGTGGGGGTAAGGCTCGATGGCATGAGAGCAGTAGGCCTCGAGTGTTACCGACAACGCTACGAAATTGACAGACAGCGGAGGAATCTCGACGCAACAAAGATGGCAGCGCACAGAGTGTTGCCAGACGTTCGAACAATTTCGCATATGGTCTATTACGATGTCGTTACATTGTAATGTCACAGTGTCAGGTGACATGCCACATGATGTCGGAATTTCTTGGCTTAATTTAGCGGGTAAATTTCTCCGCCACATGCAGCGGTAAAATCTGTAAGCTAAATTTAGCGGAAATTTAGTGTCCCATGACGTCAGACTGTCGCTTCATGCGATGCCGTTACGTGACGTCGCCGTGTCACGTGAACACCGTCTGCTAGACTTAAACACGGCAGTGTATGCCTCTGTGCAGTAGTGTGCAAGGTCTCGGCCACGGTGGCGAAAAGGGGAGGCATCTGAACGGCACCGCCTTGCCATGGAACAAGTGTGTTAAAGGTTCACTCGCATTTCTGACAAACGCCGTGGGATGGCGCCGCACGCCTAGGGTAGTAGGATACGAGCCATTCGAGGATCCGTCCTTATTCGCGCACACAGGCGTTCAAGACCGCATGACTGCGCCTAACTGACGGAGATGCGCAAAACCCGAGCGGACATTTGCCGTATTGGCTGGCCTTAATTGTTCAGATCGTGGTCTGGGACATTGCAGTTCGTTTGCACGACACGGTAAGGCACAGGGATTTTGTTCTTCTTTTTGCATGTTTGGTACGTTCGGTCGGCTTCTGCGGTGTCTTGTACTGAAAATAGGTGTATGAGAGACGAACAGGGCATTGCGCCTTTTGTTTTTTATTTCTGCGTGTGTGCTACATTTGGCGCGCTCCTATGGCGCCTTGTATCGAAAACACGGATGGTACGAGGGACGGGAACACACAGAAGAAGAAGAAAGGAGAGGCGCTCATCCTGTCTGCTCCTTTTGGCACTATTCCCGTTTCCAGTGTCCTGCCAACTAGTCCATTAGAGCCCTTTAGCTGGACGGTATTTTATTATGGGCCGGTGCTGAGTCTTCTTTACGGACCCCAAGTAGATTCGCGCCAGACCAGTTTGGTTTGTGCAAGTCGTCGATTCTGGAGCAGTCCTAGTTGCGTCAGTTGGGAGAAGGTTTCGTCACGATGTGTGGGCTTCTTTTTGTATTCTATGGGTTGTAGTATATTTCTTATTTATTTATCTTTTTCGTTGCACTTAAACACTCCGTGGATCTACACAAGGGAGACGTCTTTGTCGTTTGACAATAACTTTTCAGAATATATGCTTATTGTGTAAATTTCTCGTTCACTGCGTGACGCAGGTAGCGCGAACATTACAGCAGCGTTTCTCGCATATTTTTCACGGCAGAGCTTTTGTGGCGAACAAGAGTGTCGCCACGTAAATTGGGGTCAGATGTTACACATTTTACTCCACTGGCATTTTTTTCTGGTTTTGGGCGGAATTATTAAGGATGTGTGTTCTTGTTTACCATCATAACATTAAACAAAGACAGGGGCAGTAAGAACTTAAAAACAAAAACTAACGTAGAAAAGTTTTTTTTTTCTGCTCCAGTTTTGAGCTAATATGGAGTTTTTTTAGTGTTGGCGATGACGTGTTACAAGTAACGGCTTTATTGGTAACGCGTTACTTTTTGCAACGCAATACCGTACTCGTTACTGTTTTGAATAACGTACTTATACGTTCCATATTTCTAGTAGTGGGTAACATAGTTACGTTACTTCGTAATTCTTCCCAAGACTTAAAAACATACACAAATGAAATATTATTTTTTCAATACTTGGGATGTAAAAAGGATGTCATAAAACAAATTTACAACAAAAATAAAATATTTTTACAGCTATATTTATGACGCGGAACTAATTTGTAATTAGTGCCCGCGGGAGCCCGCGGAAAAGTGGCAACTAGCTGTCACGTGAGTGGCCACTAGTCACGTGGTGCATGTGCTCTTTCGGAAGCTTTTTATGAGCTCTAAAGTTCCTTACTGATTTTCGTGTTTTTTTTTTTTATTTCCCTTTTTTTTCACCATATTGTTTGATATTATAGAAACAAGCATGAGAAAATCGTGACTTCGGTTTCGACCTTTACGATAACAAACGAAAAACTTCGCCATTTTCTGTTCGAAGGGGCGCGGTGTCAGATGTTTTAGTTTCTACCATGTCTTTTTTCTCCCAAAACAAGCGACGCCTCTGGTCAACGATCACGTGGACTGCAGGTCCTTGACAAGCACAGCGGCGTCGCTGCTCGACGCCGCCGTGCGGGCTCGACAGGCAATTATTTCCCACATTCCTAGGTTCAGGAAGATGAAATTGTGCCAAGGTTGCCCTAATCTCACCCGGCTGAGCCATTTGCTGGAAGTTCAGTTTCCGTTCGAGACAAATTCTAGAGTCCCTGACAGCACAAGAAAGGCAAAGTGTGGCGTACGCTGTTCCCGGTCCTTGCTTCCTGATTGGTTCTTCGGCGTTTTTATCGGCTAATGCTGCAGTCTGATTAGCCGAGGAGCGGTAATGAGATGCCCGGGACTCAGGCCGCCACATTCCGCGCTTTTTAAGATGTCGGTGACTGTGGACCTCTCCGCGTCGATAAAGTTTTATTGAACGCCGTTTTGAACCGCGCCGGCAAAAAAGATGAGCGTTCGCTTGTTCAAACATCCGGGAAATCGAGAGAAGCCGGAACTATATAGGAAGGCGAGAAATCTCCACGGTGAGTGTAAGTGGCAGAACGTTCGGCAGAAGAACGAGAAGCAAAAATGGCACAGAAGATGAACGCACAACTCGCCCCCCGTTTCCAAAGAATAAAAAATGGATAACAAAAATGGAAAAGGGGTACGAACAGAAAAAGAAAAACTTCTCTCTAGCCACCGATAACCCTAACTGGCAAAGGAGGATATCGAAAAGGGGAAGGCGAAGAGAAACGAGGAAGAGAGTCCTGCATTATTTAATTAAAGGGGTCAGAGGAAGCTACTAAATGCCGGCATAATAACTCGAGGCATTCAAAGGTCGAGACAACGACAGAAAAATAAAAAACAGAAAAGCAAGTTGCAAAATTTAGCAAGTGACAAAATGAGAGACGGCTTCAATTAAGGCGTCGGGAGAGGTGTCTACCCATTCTCACCCGCTTCCTTCCCCTTAACACCCCCCCCCCCCCCCCCCCCAACCCAACCCCGTTTATAGAAGATCACCAGCTTTCTTCTCGTATCTTTCTTGTTTCCTCTTCATTCCTTCACGACTCGTGGCTCTTCAGTGTAGCGTGAACCAAATTCATTTATAAATTGGGGGAGGGGGGGGGGGGGGGCGAAAGGGCGACGGCGGGTAAGCAGGCATCACCATTTTCACTGCCCTTAATTGGCTTTCGGGTAATTATGTTATCTCCAGCGTTTGCTCGTCTTCCTTTTTTTCTTCTCTATTTTTATTTTTGCGCTTGTTGCCGTTGCGACGATCCCGGATGACGATTAATTGGTTTACCTTGCTCCAGTCTCCCGCGCTCTGACGAGTGTGAGATTCCCGGATTTCTACGCCCTTCCCCTTTCCCCATGTTCGCTCTTTGACGTTTATGTGTTGTTTTTAAATGATTATTTGGAGCGTTCTGTATGCGACCGCAGGTCCTTATTAGCGTGTTAAATTTTACTGCGACACGAATGCTAGTTGAATTTTACGTTTCTTTTGGGTGGAAATCCGCATCCGAGCTTAGAGGATATATGGGAAGAAACTTGCGTGCCCTTATTCGGACGGGGCAGTGCTACGGCTGGTTCCCATGCTTTCGATTCGGAAAGCGCCAGAAAATAAGGACAACTGGGAAAATTGGAGGAAACTATATGCGCTCGTTTCTTCCAATTGTTCACGATGTCTTTGTTCTTTGGTGCTTGTGATGAACTCACCCAACTACAAATTCTTCCCGCATTAACGTTTGAGCGTGATCGAATGTGTTGGAACCGTTGGTGGCCGCTTGCGACGGGGGTAGAGACTGGAATACGGGCTTTCATCTAGCTCCGGAACACTTCCAATGTTTGCATAACTAG